TCAGTGACGTCATTTATGGTAATTAAAAGCTTGATCCTTTAATTTTAATTTAAAAACAGAATTGAGTCTCTACGATTTCCTCTTTCGATATTAGAATGACTACTCGATGGATAATTTTCAACACTTGCGATGCCATAATCATGGAGTAGTGTATATTTTATTAGATCTCGTCGTTGCTTCGTTTCTCAGGGTTCGTCGGTTATCCGAATGATGGAGAATTTCATCGGTCCTGAGCCCTTCTACGGTGCTATCACTACTTACTTGAAGAAATTCATGTACCACAACGCGGAAACGTCCGATCTATTCAGAATATTGCAGGACGCTTCGCCAGAATTGAACGTGACAAGTATTATGGACACGTGGACCAGGCAAAAAGGATTCCCCGTGGTGAACGTGAAGAAGACTGACAACAAATATATTTTAACGCAGAAACGATTCCTGGCGGATCCCGACGCCAATTTCGATCCCTCCGAATCCGAATACGGGTAACTGAACAATTCGATAAATTGTTTATTAATTTATTCTCTATTTATTTATAATTACCTCGTTTCAATTTCAAGGTACAAATGGATCATTCCCATTACTTACATCACAAACAAAATGTCCAAGCCTACGCTGGTATGGTTCGACAATAATGCCAAAGAGTGTAAGTATTTTTTTTCTTGCAATAGTTTAAACTATAATTTTATTTATATCAGATTTTAATTAATAAATGTAAAAACTGTAGTGGTGATCGAATTGAAGGAATCTGTTGACTGGATTAAATTCAACGCGGACGAGGTGGGGTACTATCGTGTTAATTACGAGCCAGCCGAATGGAAGACTCTTGATAATCTTCTCCGAAATCAGCATAAGGTAAAATTATACAAAATTTTTTCTCTATCGAGTTAGTATTTAAATTGATTCTATGCATATTTTGTATGTAGACACTGTCCGTAGCGAATAGACTGCATCTTCTGGAAGATGCATTCAGTTTAGCAAGTGCTGGAGAGCTGGATTATGGCATAGCGATGAACATGACAGTGTACCTTCCTCTTGAGAAGCATGCTTTGCCATGGAGCGTAGCTTCTTCCAAATTGACTGACATCGACACTCTGCTATCCTCCACTAATTTCTCGTCAAAATTTAAAGTAATCGATTTTCTATTATAAATTA